TCTTAACCCAATAAATCAGCTCGATTCCCTGGTTTGCTCAGGCAGATAAATGAAATTATTTGTTGGAGAGGTGGGGGGGGAATCCGCATTCGCACCGCTCCGAAAGCGCCTGGTCTGGACCGCTTTCTTCCCCCGCTTCGATTCGTGACACGAATGATGCCATTGATCCGGTTCCAGATCCATGGAAACTGTCTTTGTCAGAAAAGGGTGGTGGTGCGTGTATTGGGGGGGGGGCGCGGAAAACGAGATCGTAAGGTGGTCTTCCTTGTTTGCTGATGGGGCTACTCGGGAGTCCGCTTCTGCGTAAGCGTGGCGGGCGCCGGTGCGCGCGCCGGCTCGAACCCTCCGTGTGTGGACGGCCTCTTTCGTAATGTGGCTGCGGTACGAAGACGAAGGAGGGGGGCGCGCTTCTGGTTTGATCGGCCCTGAATGGCGCGGAGATACACGTCCGCGGCGGATCTATTCCTCAAGTAAGCGGGGCGAAGGCGTGTAGACGAGCGAGCTCACGTCTAACTATGCCTTCGTGCATGAGCGCAGCACAACCGGAGGCGTCACAGGAATTCCTATGGTTGAGCCCTATGTTATAAGCACCCCTGGAGCTGGATGTATACGGTGTTCGGCTTTCTTATTCCCGTCAAGAGAGGGGGGGGGGATAGGAATGGAAGATCTCCCATTTCCTATGGGGGAATTTCGCTGGACAATGTTTGGTCCCTGCTTCGCAAACTGATTTTCACTAGACAACAATTTTGACAGCTCCCTCCGCGCTCGCAAAACAGGTGTTTACAGGACCTAAGCTTCACAAGACAGCAATTTAAACAGCTGATCGGCGGTTCGCAAAGCGGGCTTTCCTATGGCCGATGTTCGCTAGACAACGACAATTCTTCCCCATTGGAACGCATTAAACAGGTTTCAATGCATTCCAATGGGGAAATGCTTTTCGCTGGACAATGATTTCGCTAAACAGTGATTTCAGTGGAACGGATTATCATCGTCTAGCGAGGCACCACTGTACCTTGACTGGTCAGTTGGAACAATCTGTAGTTCTTCTTTCTCATTAGCTGGCCGAGGATCGCCCGCTCCTTGCCTTTATGTGTAGTTTGTGATGCCTTGGCCTTACTTGATTTAGTGCTGCTTCTTCACTGGGCTAAGACATCTCTTGATCTAAGAAATTCTTAGCACCCTGGGTTAAATCCACATTTTAAATGCCTAATATATATTTTTTTCCAAACTAGTGCCTTGTTTCAAAGTACACAGTTGCATGCCATACAGTAGTAGAACCATCCAGTGAATCCCTTTACAGTGAGAAAAGAGGGGTAATAGATAGATAGATAGATAGATAGATAGATAGATAGATAGATAGATAGATAGATAGATAGATAGATAGATAGATAGACAGACAGACAGATAGATAGATAGACAGATAGACAGTAGAACAGTACAATGTGCATTCTCAGGGTTCCTCCAAATGCAATCATTTCCCACTTCTTTCTTTGCAGTGGTTCCTCCAAATGCAATCATTTCCCACTTCATGTTCTTTCTTTGCAGTAAAGTGCCATCCCTTGGTATGTATCCATGTTTGTCTTCAGCAAACTTGGACACACAGAAACCAACTCTAAGGGCTTTTGCACTCAAATCAAAGTTTAACCTGCATTTTTAATTTTTTTTTTTTTAGGAACAATAAATGTAAGTTTTTCCTTTCACCCATCTGGCTGGATAGCTCAGTGAGTTAGGTATCTGGCTACGGAGCCAGACGATGGGAGCTCATCTCCCTACTGTGCAGTCCAGAAGAGCCAGCCTGTGTGGCCTTGGGCAAGCTGTTCAGTCCCAAGGCAACCCACAGAAGAAGGGAATAGTAAACCAGTTCTGAGCACTCAGAAAAAGGGAAGAAGGGAATAGTAAACCAGTTCTGAGCACTCTAATTGCCATATTAGAATCCCCTTGGAACATTATTATTATTGTTATTATCATTTCCTTTCACTTCACCATAAAGTCTGTTTACCATGTGATTGAAAGCCCCTAATTCACAGACATATGTCTGCCTTCGTAGCCTGCTGTACTATACTAATTGTTAGAAAGTCCCACAATTAATTGACTTGATTGAGTACTTTTTAAAGACCATACATTTTCAGCTGATTTATCTGCTTATGAGATGTTGTTGTCCTCTTTTCCATTGGTGATCATATTGTAATTTGAATCAGCAAGTGCTTCTCTAAAGATGTATCTTAAATCTGAACAGAAAAACAATGTAAGAATTCACACCCCTCTCATACTCACCTTTCTATCTCAGTATAACTCTGTCATCATCAGACTTTCAAGGTTCACTGTAGCTTTTTCTTGCCAGTAGACGTTGCCGATAATACCGATATCCCTTTTGAATCAAGAGCATTCTTTTGTTTTAACCAGAAAGTCAATCCGTTTGCCATGTTAGGTTCAGTCAAAGATTTTTCCATGATCAATACAGTAATGCTTTAATGAAAAATCCAATGCAGTGAATCTGAATCTTTGGTTCTGTGGTTAAATCTTAAAGAAACATGCAGAAATAATAATAATAATAATTAGTAATACTAATAACCACTACTCAAAAAGTGTAATTTTATGAGTCTCTGAAAACTGTAATACTGTTGTGTACATTTTGTTGCTATTATGACTGTAAAACACAAATATAGTAAATAAAAAATTGTAGTAATCTAATAGTTATTATTGCCAAGGCAAAAACAGAAACAAAAATAAAAAGTGTGTAATTTTATACTGAGTTCGTGTCCCATCATTTGTACATAAACCATGTATTGAGAACAACTGCTGCAGTGCTCAGACACTATGGTAAGCCCCCCCCCAAGTATGAAATTAAAGGATATATGACAGCTTGCTATTAAAGGAATAGGAGCACAGCTGTGAAAGAGGCAGTGATTCTACTGCAGATCTGGTAGGTAAGCCCACTGGTTCTTAACCTTGGGTTACTCAGGAGTTTTGGACTGCAACTCCCAGAAGCCTTCACCACCAGCTGTCCTGACTGGGGTTTCTGGGAGTCGCAGTTCAAAAACACCTGAGTAACAAAGGTTAAGAACCACTGGGTAAGCCTACTAGAAAAG